TTCAAAGTAAGATCACTTAAGAAAAAAGAAAGTAAATATGGGGACATTTTGTTAAATGGAATTAAATTTTACTCTTCCTTAATTCATTCTGGGATCAACAGCTAAAGACTTACTGCTCTAGGTCTTGAGAAACTCTCCCATTGCCTCATTCAAGTTGCACAAGCCCAAATGAGAAAATAGAAAAAAAATACGTTTTTCAGTCTTTCCTCGCCTTTCCAGTTTGATAATCCCTGGATAGATTGAATAGTCAAGAGGCCTATGGTAGAGTCAGAACTGCAGTAAACCTTAGCTCAAGAAACAGCACAGTGTGATTCAGTTTCTCAGTTTCTAGAAAGGAATAAGAGATTTAGCTGAGTGTATGACAAAGTTGTTACTCATTCTGACAGTGACGCAAGAATAATTGTGACTCTGAGTCGTATTCTGGCTTGAACAGAGTTTAAAGAGAAGGCATTTTTATACAAAAAAAATGGAAAAAGGAAATAAGAAAGAATATAATCATAAGGATAAAAGTAGCTTAATAGGTCTGAAAAGGTCATATGCTTTGGCATTTAACAAAAGAAGAGCAGAACAGTATAATAATAGAATACAGTGGGGTTTTTTGGAGTCAATGTCCCACTTGTCAAATATGAGTGGCTTACAACTCCAGATCATAGACTTATGACTTCTACATTTAGGACTTTCAATTGCAACCATAAAAGTTACAGACTGAAATTTTAAAGGAAAGCTTGTTGGATCCTCAAGTACAGAATGGCATCCTTTTGGTAAAAGCAAAATACAACCCCACAATTTAAACCAGAGAGTTCAAGCTTTCAGTCTATAATTAACCCAAAGACAAAGGTAATACAATTGCATGAGCATTTTTCAGCTTTGTAATGCTATCTTTTGAAAGCTGTGGTTGCATTTCTGCAAGTAGTATACACTGGTTTCTGTAAACAAACCTCTTGCATCACATTTGCCCATTTGGGAACTTTTTGCTATGCAAGAAAATTACATTTTGAAACTTCACATTATTCTAAAAATGTGTTGGGGGGGGGGGGGTTCAGTAACCTAAAGCCTATTTCCAGCCAGTAACAGCTTTATCACAGAAAAAAATCTTGGTTTAAATGCCTAGAATTTAATAATAATGATAATAATGATAATAATGATAATAATAACAGTGAGATTTGTTTTGTCAGTACTGAAGTTTGGGCATTTAAGCACTTGCATTTGATTGGAAAGCTAAAAGTTGTCTCCAACTATCAGAAGCCCAACTGCTTGTATACATTCCCCTCTGGTGGTGACCAGTAAACATTACAGAAAATAACAAATGCCAAAGGGGCAAGGATTAAATGGAAATAAAAAGTACTTCACCAAAAAAAGGATCCTTATTTTTAATTATAAGGCCTGAAATGTGTTTTTTTTTTTTAATCAATGGGCTCGTTTAAAAATTATTCAGCAATAGTTAAGAACTCTACTTAAATTCCTCCTACTTATTTTTTATATTATACCAACTCTCTTGCCAGGATCAAGGTCCTTTTCCTCTGACAAGACATACTTCAGTAATATTTCTGGCTTGTTTCTTCACACACATAACTGGTGTTAAATTACAGTGTGTAAAACTACCCAGTAGGGATTTTTAAAAAATAAAACGTAAGCCAGGGTAAGGTACCTGGATGCAAAGCTGCTGAAAAAGGAAATGAAAATTTGTATTATTTACTGCATACATAGAAAAAAGCCAGTGATATTTTCAGTGGGAAAATCAGAACTCTGCCTTGACAAACTGTGAAGGTTTATCAAAGCACCTGATGGAGTAACAGAGGATGTGCAACTGCAGGCAGACATCAGGAACAGGTGGTCTTTCTTTCAGTCAAGGTGCTACAAGCAAAATGAAAAAAAAAATCAACAACCAAAAACCACATGACTGTGCAACATACCATTACTTATTCAATGTTCTTTTTCAAAGATTGCCAAATTACTAGTATCTAAAAGCAAAAAATCCCCACTGCAGGCCAGAGTGGATCTTCTCTCAAGAGCAGAAAAAGAGAAAAGGCCTGCACATTTAAGGATAGGAGAAAAAAAAAATCTATTAACACCAAGCAACCAGCTTTTCCAGGGTATTCCTTATATTCTTACAGATGACATCAACAAGAACACTGTGTTAAGGATTTTCAACAGTCAAGTGTTTGGAAAAAAACATGAAGCAGAAGATTAGTCTCTCAAAAAAATCTTGTGACCATTGCTCACTCTACTGACTCTTAAAAGAGTAAGCAGTGGTCACCAGCAAGTTACTTGGAGGATGATTTGGATAAGCAAACTGAAAATGCTTGTGTGCTATTTGGTTAAGTACAGCTGGAGGCCTGAAAGGAGGCTCATACTGCCCTCTACACTCAGAGGCACTTAAACAGACTAGAATCCCTTTGGAACAGCATGTTGCAACCTAACATATAGAAAACAGGTCTTCCGCAGGGAAAAAAAAGAGAGAGGTCCCTTCTGTCAGCAAGACACAGAAAGAATCTAAATTTACAGCACCTACTGTTGCAGAAAGCCTTACAAGATACCCACATCCACACACTTATAAGGGCTAAGAAAAGCAGAAGTAAGTGCTCATTCTCCTAAAGAAAGCTGAAACATACAGGCAAATAAAGAGTATCCTAAAACTACTTGTAACTCTAGCTTTTCATTCCCTAAACTACCCAACTGTTTATATCCATGCAAATATGTAATTTATACACAGATAGTGCAAAGTACAGAACCTAATCGGGGTTTTCTGAAAAATCTCCTTTCACCCTAAGCGTTCAGTGAATCTGAGAACTGCCTCCCCAGCACCAGGAGCCTCATTTAAAAGAGCTCTAGCACTGAGGCCCCAGTTATACTGATGATACCAGAAGATGGGACATTTCATTGCTGCTTTAGGGAGCACTGAATTCACTTTACACACTGAGATTTTCTTGTTTCTCTTCAGTCCTTCATAAATAGCTAACCATGTGCTATTCTCCCACCCCATGCAACTTCAGAGATACTTATTAGTAAATACCACCCCCTCTATGCCTGCAGCTCCCAATGTTTATATAACATTTCCACCTTTTCTTCTTCCCAGAAGCCAGAGACTCTATACCTTGCTCACTTGTCTTTGTCTTTCCAAAGAGCTTTTCCAGAAGTTTTCATTTTTGCATGATACCTGATAGTATACATCTTAGGTTCATGTATGCTCACTATGAAGTCACAAAGCTGACACATCCTTCCTGTGTACTCAAACCCAGGGTTTTTATGCCAGCTGTTTAGCCAAGTTTGAGGCCGCACAACTCAAAATTCAGTTTCAGGCATTTTCTACCTCCAGAAGGCCTCTGTACCTTTGGAGTTGAAAATTGTCTTCAGGTGGTACTTACTGAAATACCGTCCTCATCCCACCTGCCTTGGTGCTTGCCTCACCATGGCCACCAACACTTCTAGCTACTAAAGCCAGATACTATGGCCCCTGTTCAGGGAGGACAGAGTTGCTGTAGCCAGAATGGTGGTGACAATTAAAACTCTGCTAATCTCCTACTATTTCTGCTTTTTATTGCGCCAGTTACTAATGAGAGCTGCAACACTACAGGCTTCCACTACCCTGTGCAAGTATCATTCGCAAGTATCATCCACAAGTAGTCCTGGTAAAGAATGACAAATTACATCTTTGCTGAGCGCCCTACTATTAAACATCCAAGTTTTGATCCACTGTGTTGAACCCTCCTGAATTGTTCTTGTTCTGGCCAGGAACAGCATATTGAAACATTTTTTTAGCACTTAAAGTTTTTAAGATGCTCTCAGCTGCTGGTAGAACCAGATATGCATGTGTCATATTGTTATGAACCATCTCCCAGCCACATTCTTTCAGAGATAGCTATGGCTCAACCCATTTAACAGTACAGCTATGACTAATATTTATTATTATTCCTCCCTCTGCACCTGTGCCATTTTTCTATTAAGTTCTTCTTTGCTATAAGTCTTCTGTTCTCCTGCCTCCTCTTTTTACTCAAAGCATTTGATTTCATGACTTTCATTCAAAATGTCAACATTTTAAAGTATCTTGCCACAACAGGTAGAACTATAAAGTGCAGCAATATGCTTATGCTTACGCATGTGGCTAATGGATACTCTCAGCCAGTCCACCTGCTTACAGAAATCATATATATTTAATTGGCAGGAAGAGCTGGATGTGCAGAGCTCAATCTACAAATGACTTCTGATTTAGTCTTTATTTATTATTTTCTGTCTGCTGACCCACAATTTCATTTCCGTCAGACATGCATCTACCTACTGTTGTAACTACTTGGATCAAAATATAGAGCTGTATGCTGAGACCTATCATATTGTACAACATACTTTCTCCATGCTACATATAATCCTTGTGTCTCCTTGTCATTTTAGAGTGGAGTACTATATTTAATGAAGTCTATGCAAAGCATAACCAAAGTCTTAGTTTTCCACAGGTATAAAAACTCCATTTGACACACATCACTCTTCCTTTTGGAGGGAAATATCAGGAAATGGCTTTGGGGAGAACTGCTTAACAGATCTGCTTTCCAAACACTCGTTCCTCTCCTTCCTACTCAATGTTTTCTCCCTTAGTTAGAGGATAATGGTGCTCTCCAAACAGCTAATATAAATTCCCCATGAAAAGACCTCAGCAGACCAAGTTGTCCAATTTACGTACTTTCTAGTTTGTAATCTATTAGGATTACAGATCTGGATTTGGTTTGTGAGCACTACATTATTAAGATGTATTATTGTTCTCATTTGAGATGAACAGTCCAGAAGAGTGCCTTAGTGGACCTCAGGATAACGTTTATGTTTTCCTTCATTACAACTCTTGAAGACAATCATCAACTTCTTCAACTTAGTATATTCAAAAAATTCAGAGGTACATTTTCAAAACAACTTAGAAAAAGCCATGGGAAATGGCCCTCCAAAAGAGAAGGGAAATTAATAAAACCATCCCATAAGACACTAAAAGAATTACATATTATTCCTTTTCATTGCAGATGCAAAAAAAATATTGCAGTCCTGTGGCCCTTCATGCAGGACTTGTGAGAAATCTGCTGACATATGTACTTCATGTCCAGAAGGTAAGAGACTTCAACTTCTTCGGGTAAGTTTTGCAAGAGGCTAAAATATTCCGTATCTTACACACTTCCAGGGAATATCTTCATCAATGGTCATTAGAAAGTTCTTTGACAACTTAAAGCGCAGGCAGGTAATCAGACAATTACCAGCTGAAGTCAGGCATTAGCTAGGCAACAGGCACATGCCTTTAGCAATATAGGTAAAAAAATTATTAGGTGGATGCTGCTCCTTTTCTTTATTTTCAATCAAAAGTTGTAGACATCATGCAGGAATTATTGAATAGCAATTTATTCAGGAAGATGTACTAGAAAATCCTGATGATTCCTTCTAACCTTAAATTTCAGTGAAGATTGAGCAAACTACTTTGGGAAACGGCTTAAAGAATGTTTTAGTCACCTTTTTAGGCATCAAAAAGTTATGTTTCAAGGAAGTTGAAGGCTTGCTTTATAGCTATCCAAGGCAGGAATCTTAAATTTAATTGGTGTCTTTTCCCACCTGGATTGCTTTTTTGCCAGGAAAATTTCTTACCCATGATACCTGTGTTTCTCTGTGCCCTCAAAAAACTTTCGGCAATGTTCTAAGTGGAAAGTGCGAAATGTGCATGGATGGCTGTGAAGTGTGCTCCAACTACTGGCACTGTCAGAAGTGTCAGGCTGAAGAGGAACAAACACTTTTCCTCCATGAAGGCAGATGTTTACAGGAATGCCCTGAGTAAGTAACTCCCCTTTGATGACTGCTCCTTATTTTCTCACTGTGCTCTTTCTTTTCAAAGTTCAGATCCATAATAAACCTTTCAAGGGAGACCTTACTATAACCTCAGCTACAAGAAACTATCACAAAGTAAAAGTAATTTTCATCTGGCCTGAATAAACAGCATTTTCTCTTGCTTAGACAAAAAGTGAAAAAACAGAAGCAAAAGCAGACATGAAATCCTATGGCTTCCCACTGACTTCAGCAGGACCATGATAACCTAAGGGTGGTTCCTTATGCTGACTGAAAAAGTCATTCTGCTAAGTTGTTTGTTCCTCAAAGTAGTACAGGGCAGGGATGTGGAACCAGAACAGATGTATCAGACTCCTGATATGGAAATATAGTGTTAGTGAAGTGTTTCTCTCTTTGTTTATATTCTTTATTTTTTCCTATAATAAGTGTAACTCAAAAAAGAAAGGTTCCTATCTGACTATAGTGGATAGATCATGTTCTCCTGTTTCTGTGGGTTTTTTTCATCAGCATTTGTCATGCCTATATAGACATATAAAATTTGTACTATGCAGCATGAATATCTTGCTTGGTTAACCTTTTTCTGTAGAGAAATGTGCATCTCCTGCTTTTCTTACGATCCAGTACAAATTCTCTGGCAGTACTTTCCATCGAACTTTGTCAAATAAGACAGGAAGGACCAGTGGAACAGACATTTATCACCAAATGTCAGAGTAAATGCAAAGTAATTGCACTAAAGTCACGTCTAGAAAGAACTTTCAATATCAGAAATTGTGGCATACAAAGATAATCCTTTGATATTAATGCATTTGTTCTCAGTACTCATTCCCCAGTCATCCCATACAACGTACATATTACAAAATTAAGCCGTTTCTCAGTTAATCCCCCACAAGGTCAGTATTACAAAATTAAACCTCTTCATCTATCACTATTCTTTTCAGTTGCCATTACACCCCCTTTCACAAATTCTGGACTATAAATAATGGCTTCCCAGACATCGTTCAGAAAAGTCCACCAGAGTTAAACTCTGGTTTTAAGGCACTGAGGCAAAGTTCATGAGGCATAGCTACTCTCCACTGGAGCATAGTATTACATAAGATTATGTTTTCTGGGTTATTTTTTAGGTTGGGACATGTTGTATGGGATAGAAAGGGTTGACTTGCTGCACTGGTAATTTCTGACAGAGGATTTTGAGCTAGGCAAGTACTCAAGACTGGAACAAGAGAAGAAAATAGGACTGTGAGAAACAGATGCAGAATCATGACAAAGGTTATGAGGAAAAAAAAAAAAGAAGACTATAAGAAGTGGCAGGCACAGCTCTTCCTGTCTTTTCACTAATCTTTCCACTAATCATGACTTCACTAATCTTAACTTCACTAATCTCGACTTCACTAATCTCATGTCTCCTCAGCCTTTCTTTAGAAAGATCATACCCAAGAAGGAAAGGAGAAGCACCCATCTACAGGAAAGAATAAACATGTTCCTGGAACATGTGAAGTACACGTTGTGGCACAACTTTCAGTGTCAACTTCTTCCTTAGTTTCCATCAATGGCTGCATACATATAAATAAGTAATCATCTCAAAATGTGTATTTGCTTGTCCTTTAATCTTCTCAAATTTGGTTTTGAGAATGTAGGGAGACTGTATTGCAACCAGCCCCTCCTTTATGCTTCTCCTCCTGAAATATAAGCACAATTTTTGGTATATTTTCTTTACAAATAATAGTTCCAATTGTGGCAGTCTATGTGGCAGTCTATCAAACCACAGATACCACAGCACAGTAAAATGTGCTCCCTCTTCACTGTCTCTAGCTTGCTGTCATTAAACACAGGTACCACTTACACAACCTGATTTTGTTAGGTGGGTTTTTTTTAATCTCAGCTCACTTTATTCTTCCCAACCTTCACGCTTCCAGGGTTTTGTCTTTCTCCCCTCTAGGGCTACTGAGGTTATACTTCCCTCTCTTTCCCTGATATCACTTTTTAGAGTCAGCTGTACAAGACTAGAGATTTCATCTTTCTTTTCCCAAACATTACAGATATTTCTATCTTATGTAAGGGGAGAATCAAGAAATGAGCAAGAAAGAAAATTCAACTAGAGAGAGGGTACAAGGACAGAGGAAGGCCAGGCACCCTTCATAGTACTACGTGTGCACATTTTCTGCACCAGACTGTTTGATAACACAGACTGACCAGCACTTTGTCTTCGTTTTCATTCAATAGGGGATATTTTAATGATTCTGAGACTTGCAAGGAATGCAGTGGATCCTGTAAGACATGCATGGGAACTGCAACTAAATGCCTGTCCTGTAGAAGTCCCTTGCTTCTGGAGCAGTGGGAATGTAAACCTACCTGTTCAGAGAAGCATTTTGTCTCTGAAGGAACCTGCAAACACTGTCCTGAAATGTGTCTGGAGTGCATTCACAACGAAATATGCAAAGGTATTATGAAGAACTGTTCTCATTTTGGCTAAAATCCATCTGGATCTGTCTAGAGACAGACTGACAAGCACAGATCTGAAAAATATCTGTAATGAACAAAAATAAGACAAATGTTAAGCAATCAGTTTTTAATGAAGAGACTCAACTGTTTATGATGAGTCTAAACTGTTAATCTGTAAAGATTTCATACTGCTTTGCCTGTGCCTGTTGCCCTACAGAGATTCCCATCGATTTGATTCTATTTCTGACCTGGTGTACCCATGCCTAAACATTTGCACACACATTTACACCAATGTGAAATACAGAATGTTTCTTTCCTAGTTTGCTTGAACTTTACATCCATTTACCATTTTTGCAAATGACAACTTATGGTAGAAAATTAATCTCTGTAATGAAACATATCACGAAAGACCTGAATATCCTGGTAAGTCTAAATTGCTAGGATAGTTAATACTGAGCAAGCTATTCTGGAAACATAAACATGGACGAAACAGGATGGGGGGGAGGAAATCATAAGTGAAGCTATCAAACCGAGTACTCATATAAAATCAGCAGCTGAATCCCAGCTCTATGCAAAGACAAACATTCAGGTCCGTATATTCCAGCTACATGTATATTCTATTAATATATCAAACAGAACTTCAGGTGTAGACATACCTGATTTTGCAGGAAGCCCATAATACCTTAGTACCTATATTCAGTGGCAGCACAGGTTGGTTAATATCGGCAATGCTGAACAGGTGACTTCCCTTCTCAGTCTCTTGATTTAACACAGAAGATGCTGTGTGACAGTAGGGCCATTAATGGGCAGTTTGGAGGGGGAGGCGTCAAAAGAAGAAAGCACTGTCCTCTTACCCCCTGTTATGACAGGCATTGCAAGATTTACGGTTTCTGAGGATTTCTTCACTCCCTCACTTGCAGAGGTCAGATTTTACTGCCCATTTGCTTACCTTTTGTTTGCTGTCCCCTATAGAGTGCATGGATGACTTTTTCCTGCATGAGGGGAAGTGTGTACAGGATTGCCCTTCTCATTTCTATGCTGAAGACAAGCACTGCTTTCCCTGCCATGCAGACTGCAAGGACTGTGATGGGCCCGACCCAGATGACTGCACTGAGTGTGCCATCAGCTACTTTGTTCTCTACAGCGGGACATGTTTTGAAGAGTGTCCTGAAGGGACATACTATGAAGAAGCCAGTAAAGACTGTCAAGGTTGGCAGCTATTGTTTTCTCCAGAACAGTACTGACATACAAATGGGTCTGGTTAAAGACCATCCCAAAAGGGCATTCATATACTGCCTAATGTCACTATCAATGTCCTGGAAGCAGAGGAGCTGGCTAATGCAGAAAAATAACAAGGCATATCTTTGATTAGCAAAAAATGGAGAAAACTGAGAGGGAAGTAGCAGAGCTTATTGTTTTCAATATTATGGGTAACCACCCTGGTGGGTTACTATGGGTAATTATGGTGGGTTATTATGGGTAACCATTTTGACTTTTTGCTACATATTCCTGAGGACAGAATGTTGAAAACCACTGTTCAGCAAAAGCAGTGCCACTGCAAAAGACAACCCAAGGAACTGCCTGCATAAGATTGAAAACAGTAAAACGGGGTTTTTTTTAGACTATGCAGAAGCAGAGCTATCACTCTGTTCCCCTCAGCCTCTCATCCTGAGATGACGGCTGCTCCTTGCAGCATTCAGCTGAAATAATAATCTGAAATGCAACAAGAAATGATGACATTCCTACTGTTTGTCATTTCAGCATGCAACTGGACATGCCAGACTTGCTCTTCTTCCGTTGCTTGCCTTACCTGCAGAAATGGCCTAATGCTGAACCATGATGGGCACTGTGTGCCATTTGGATACTGCTCTAGCACTGAGTACTATGTTGAGAAAACTCAGACCTGCAAGCCCTGTCACAAGAAATGCTTCCACTGCTCTGGACCCACTAAACACCAGTGTCTTAGCTGTGCCAATAACCACTATCTTCTTAGTAAGTGTCATCGTTTCTGCCTCTAGATTTTATCCTACACTGAATGCATGAAATAGGCAAGCTTCTGTCACATTCATGAAACATGTAAGCCCGCTTCCGCTGACATGACAGATAGAGATGATTACTTGTGCAGTGCTACCTGGAAGCAACAAATGCCAAGGCTGAACAAAACTTGTAAATTTCATGTACTACTGTTCCTGTTACTTCCTACAAGGAACTTAAAAGATGAGTGGGATATCCTTAGATTTTTGTCTGGTTTTGGTTTCTTTGGTTGTTTTTGTTGTTTGGTGGTTTTTTTTTTATGTACACACAAAGAGCTCATATCTTCATGTTGGCTTGTTTAATCCCTTCAGAGATATGATGAGCAAAGCAATAGTTAAGCAGAGCTGTTAAAAAATGGTTCATGAATCACTAGGTCACTGTCTAGTGGATGACTGAGGTGCAAAACTACTTTTCTGACTTTGGAGCAAAAGACTGTATTGTCTCAGAAACAAATTAGTAAAAAGTAAAAAATTCCAGAACTTAAGCTTTATTTCTTCACATATACTTTACAGAAAATCCTTGGGAGAAAAAAACAGTTAAAATGCTATTTCCTGCAGGGAAAAAAAACCACCAAACAACAACAACAACAGCAACAACAAACCAAAAAACAGCTGAACAGTTTGAATTAAAACTGAACCTAAGTTTTTGAGTCTGATTCTGATGAAGATTTTACATACTTAAAATTCTTGCATCAGACCTGTATTTCTTACCAACACACTCAGATTCTTTGCACCATTACAATCAGTAAAATTGATGGAAGTATGTAAATAAACATCCTGGACTGGAGAAAGAATTGAAAAAAAACCAAAAAACAACCAGAAATAAGGAGAAGTGTCTTCCTTTGCCCATTTGCAACCCAAGCAGCAAAACTATAAAGACAAGCTAGATAAGGAGTACAAGCTACTGATGGATAACCATTGCTCTCTTAACTTGATGCACTTGCAGTTAGTTGCATCAGTCCTACCTTCTCATTCAAGATTTGTAGAATCATGGTATCAAAGAATAGTTTGGGTTGGATGCGACCTTAAAGATCATCTCGTCCCACGTGCCCTGTCACAAACACAGAAACCTTCCACTCAACTAGATGGCTCAAAGGCCCATCCAATCTGCCTTTGAACAATTCCAGGGATGGGGCAGCCATGGCTCCTCTGGGCCACCTGTTCTAGCGTCTCACCACCTTCACAGCAAAGAATTTTTTCCTAACACCTAATCTAAATCTACCCTCTACCAGTTTAAAGGCATTACCCCTTGCCCTATCTCTACATGCCCTTCCTCTTTTAATGACCCTCTGAAATCTCAGTGAAAACATGGGATGTACCTGGTACATTTGGCAGTATTACAGGCACTTACTACAATCTGCTTTAGCAGCAGCGGAAGATAGGGGTAAAGACAAATTAACAAGTGTCGTTAAATCTCAAATTTACCATCATATTTGTGATATGCACAGAATACAATGAAGTTGATGTTTAGAGTGAAAATTAAGGAAAATAGCAATGCAGGTAGAAATTTTCCTAGTTACTATTTCTTCTTCCATATATTCTGAAAGAAATCACAGCTGCCATCCATTATTATGTATTACGCATTTCCCAAAGATAAAAAATTACCTGAAGAGCCTGCTAATGTACATAAAATGCAGAAATAAGGACTGATGAACTTCTAATACTTAGAAGAAACAAAAAATAATTACTATATACCAGCATTCTCTTGTTCTGGTACACACTCTAGCAGCACCTCCTGTCAGAATGATTGTTTGAGATGTCTTATAGCAGGCAAGTACTTAATATGACATGTTATTCTGCATTGTTGTCTGTGCAGATACAACCTGTGTTGAAACATGCCCAGACGGGTATTATGTTGACAGTGATGAGGGACAGTGTTCCCCATGCCACAGCACCTGTGTCACTTGCACTGGAAAACACAGCTCACAGTGCCTTTCCTGCAAACCAGGCTGGTACAGACAAGGAAAAGGATGTGTAAACCAGTGTCCAGCAGGGTAAGGTCCAAGAACTTTAGCTAAGAGATACATTACAGAAAGCTGGCAGAAATTAGATCACTCTGCCCTGTTTTATTTGAGAGTGAGACAGAACTGAATTCTATGTTCAGGTGAGAAATTCTTATGTTGTAGCAGTATACAGGCGGTGGAAAACCTTCCCTCACTATAGGAAACTGTAAAGTTGGTACCCAAACTGGGACTAGCTTTATGTGGTGTGGCCTTTCTTACGCTCCAAGGATGCTCTTTGGTTATGTTTGTATTGGACAGTGTAAAACAGAATAAACATAGGAAGCCACCTGTTAGCTTTAGTATAGGCAGCGTAACTTCCTTCAAGCACCCTTAGAGCCTTCACCTAGCCTGAAGTTCAGATGAGGTTACTTCTGTTTTGCAATGAGTAAATGTTTATAATGGTATATAATAAACTAACCATTAAAACACCTTTCAACTGAGGACCCATAATTCTAGTCAGAAACTTCATTAATATGAGTCCATGTAATTTCAAAACCTGAACTCAGTGTGCTCTTGTGAGTATGTCTCCAAATTCAAATTTGGGAAGTGGATCTACGATTTCTGGTTCAGGTCCATTTCATTTTGCAATATAGTAAAGATCACACTGCCTGTTAAATTGAGTTATCATCCCATTAAATTTGGAAGTCTGTAATGACCACATCTCAAAAAAGAACACTGTGCAGCAATTCCTTTTTTCCACCAACTCAACTGAACTGAACACTGCTATTCTGATAATATTCTTTGGGTAAGCCTACTTATGCACTGAAAGGAACTACGAAATTTCTGAATTTTCATTTAACAGCAGGTATGGGGCAGTGAGGAATTCACCGCTTACCCAACATCTCCAGAGTATCTCTCAGGGCCAAAACAAAGTTGAGGTTTTATGAGACCTACCTATACTTTGAGTCTGAATTAACCCTGAATTTTAGAAGGCCTTACTTTATACAGCCTTATCTACAAGTCTTGCTTTATAGCTGAATTCCAATGGCCAAAGGGAATTAAATAAAATTAATTCTATTTTGACTGAGATTGCAAATGTTTACTGCAATCACATCAATATCACTTTTCTACATTGGTGTAGTCATAGTAAAAGCTAAGAATAAAGGAAGTTTTGGTTTTGCTATCACTGCTAGGCTTTGTGCAAAGCCATGACTATCTGATCTGTTTCAGGTATTTTGCACAAAACTCCACTGGATCATGTCAGAGATGCCACAAAGGTTGTAAGGAGTGCATGGGGCCTCAACCCACAGACTGCCTTTTCTGTGACACATATTTCTACCTGTTGCGCTCCAAGAATGAATGCATTAGCTCTTGTCCTGAGTACTACTATGAAAACAAGGACAACAATATCTGTGAAAGATGTCACCCTTCCTGCCAAACTTGTGAAGGTAAAAGCTTTGACCAAAATAAGCGTAACAAAAACACCTGCCAAGGATTATCAAAGCACCTAGCATCTCCTTTGGTTTTTTACTCTCTCCTCCAAGATTTGGAAACACTTCACTAAGACACATGCCATATACAGCGCTACCAATCTGTCCATGACCGAACTAGCTACAGTGAGTGATGCAGACCTCTCCTGTGGCTGCAGGCTCACCCTGGCCCTGGTTTATTTGCTGCACTGGCTGCTCCATGCTGCCACCTTACTTTCAGAGTATTGATTAATCAAGATCAAAGCAGGTATATGAATTCCTGCCAAGCTCCCTGCAGGGCCTTCTCCAGCCATGGAGCACAAGTGTAAAGGCAGCCACTCATGGGGAGGGCTGGGAGCAAGTCCCGGTGCCAAGTTGGTGAAGGGAAACAGACAACAGTAATGAATTTTCCATCACGCAGGCCTCTCACAAAGATACTCATCAACTTCAAAAAAAAGTGGCTCTGTTGGATACAGAGCTGGACCTTGTTCCTCATACAAACACTGAACAATGATTGAATTATATCTGACTCTTTAAGCTGTCCTACTATGTGTTACTCTGTGAAAGTCAGGGAACCTAAATCCAACCACACATCTTTATAGTCTGCAAAGGGAAGAGTGATGTCTGCTGGTTTTAATGTACCTAAGTATTTTTCAAAATTAACTTTGAAAGACCATCTGTTTTGTTCTATGACACACTTATGCATTCATTTGCTTCTTTTTCCTAATTCATCCAATTCTGAAGAAGCAGCATTAATTCTCTTGGATCCATTTGACATCCTTTTCTATCTGAACAGCATTAGATGACAGCTAACAGTACCACTCTGCAGCTTAGATCGCACCTTACCATAACATACAAAATTTGTTTTGGATAGTGGATATATTGGGTAGTATACATAGCTAATTGCAACATAACAATATTTAAAATTGTGGAAATAACTCTTAAATGAAACCACATCCAAGAACTACTAAAATTTAATTGTATAATAGCATTATAGCAAGTAACAAACATTTTAGCTTGGATTTGGGACAAAAAGATAGCCATTTTAATTTACAGACAACTTCCACTGGTATTTACTTCCTTTGGGATAAATACTACAGGACAGAATTTCTGTTGTGATTACAGAGACACAAAGATGAAACACAAGCCAGTCCTCCTAAAAAGCAAACCTGTAGGTGTTCTAAAATGCATCTGTACTGTTGATGGCTGAGCAAAGAGATGTCATGGTGTCTCGTTTCTCAAGAACAGGAAGGCAAACCTTGTACTACTTAGAAAACTCACATAGTAAATTTACTGGGTTATAGAAGGTTGCTAATTTCAGATGTTTAAGTGCTGCTAACTTGAGCTACTTACATTTCCATTTTCTTCCTTGCAGATGGTGGCAGAAAATGCCCAGTTACAGGGACAGGTGCATCTTAACACATAGGACAAACCCTTCACTTCAATGTTTCACAGAAATACTGTATGCAGCATCTGTCTTCAAAAAGAGTCTCCAAAACACAAAGTGCATATGATGGTCTGTTTGCACCTAGTGAAGGATTTTGTTCCCTTGCAACTAAAAATCTTATTTTGCTGTTGAAACACAAACATATCTTAATTTATTATGGTTTGGAAACAGTTAACTATCAGGCCTAATAAATATTGATTTTGTGAAGGAGAGCATGTGGCCAAGGTTCTCCACAATTTTACTCCAGTGCGTTGACCTAATTGATTCCCCTGAAAGTGTCAGAGCTTCTATGTACAACTGATTCCCAAATCAGCTCTTCATGAATACCAAAACACATAAGAAATACATTTGCACATAAAACTTCAAGACTAGGCCAAAGGTTTTTTTAATACCAACCTCCTCATGCTGAACTCACTGCTGATTCCTGCTGTTGGCAAATACCCTTTTCTTTGCTGTCAATGGTCAGAATAATTTTAAAAGGAAGTTAGATGACAATTTTTCCTGTAGTAAAGTTGATGTTTTATTTCCCTTTCTAGGGAAGGGAGCATTCAGCTGCACATCTTGTGTATGGAGTCACAGTTTATCAGGTGGAATGTGTAACTCAGACTGTATTGTAGGTGAATACAAAGTCCAGGAGGCACCAGAACAAGAGGTACCTTTTTGTAGACATTTTCTCCTGCTGCTTGTATGCTGAACTTTAACTTCTGAACACAACACAAACACCACAGAATTCTCTTATCTGAGTTTTCAAGGCTGGTTATCTTTAAATGCATTTATTTCATTGTTTTTTTGGCAGAGGAAGCGCTGTTTTTTTCTTTCTGGGGTTGCCTACTATAGAGTAATCCTCTATCATTAAATACGAAGGCACAACATTGTCAGTGATAACATCAAAGCCATGTGAACAAAATCAACTATATTAGTAATACAGCATTTATTTTTTTTTCTTCCAGTATAACTGAGATTTCCCTGTGGATTTCTCCTGCTTTGTCTGTAAGACATCACATTGCATTCCAGATTGACAGTTCTGCTGGCAGAAACCTCTAGTTGAGGGAGAGACTAAAGTTAACAGAGCTGGATATGTAGTAGAGTAGAACCACAATTAGGTTTGGGTCTGTGCCACAAGTCTGGGCATTCTAGCTTCCAGATTTCCACACCAACTACCTTCCAAAGATGTTTATTCAAGAATATAGCAGCAGCAAGGCAAGCCAGCTGGCTTGAGATGCTGCATACCCAGGAGTCTCTGGCCTGGAATATCCCCTTAGCAGTACTGCTTCATAACTGAGACCTTGGGAAAACAGCCTACAAGATGGGGACCACAGAGGTGCACACTTCTTTGCAAGAGCTTTGACTCTGAGAAACCGGACCTCCTCATGGACCCACTATGACCCTCCCATCTTGCCCAGATCGTTTGTTTAAGGACAAGCAGCCTCACAGGTCTCACAGCAAGTTTGATGAAAGGTTACTGGAGTTTCGAGATCCTCACAGTGGATATGGAGTCCTGGTCCCATGTCAGAAAAAGAGCAATTTTTTCCCCAATAGACCAGGAACTGCAAACACTGAAATACCAGAGCTCAGAGTATTCTGCAAGGTAGAGATGACAATGCTGATCTCTGGTGGTCTCTGTACACATAAGCTTTTAGGAGCCTATCTGGAATTTGAGTATTTGCATCTAGGCTGTTTCTGTAAAACAGAACCAAGATGATCTAATAAAAATCTGGTTTGCTGGAAAATTTCCATCCAGCTGTATCATCCAGCTGTATTTTTGCTCCTTCCCAAAGAATTTCCTTAGAAAGGAAATTCATTCTCTCAGCTGCCCCCCCCTTTTTTTTCTCCTTAGAATAATTCAAGTTACTTCTCTCATGCCAGTTATTTTTAATGATACTATTGAGTACACTTCTTGAAGTCCACTTTACCACTATTACTGTTAAAGAACTACAGATCTGCTAGTATAGGACTAGCAAAACCAAAATACTTCCTGGCCAAAGAGCTTGCAGTGT